TGGTTATTTAAAATATTTATTATATAAACACATAATTCATGTTAAATTGACATTTCAATACAGATGTAAAACATTTGTGACATATTTTTTCAAATATGGCAAATTACTTGTGCGGTAGAAAGAGTGAACTATTTTTTAAAATTAATATAATATTTTAATTGTGATTAAATAAAATTTTATAATGTTTGTTTATTATATTTTAAAAGCATAACAAAGGTAAGACATGTAATTATTTCTAACTATATTAATTTGTTGCGAACCAATTGGGAGTCAGTGATGAGTTGATTCGAGATACGAGGAACCAGTCGCTGGCTATACCCTAAACTTTAGGGTCATAGTAACCACACATATTTAGCCGATTATACCAACATTTATTGTGTTTATGTGTGGTGTGTTAGTGAGTAAAAAGTTACGTGTTTGAAGTTTATTGTATTTAAAATAGTATTTGATCCTTGGTTTACATCAATCCGTATTAGAGTTACATATAATATGAAAAATATGGATATTAATACATAAGAATCTATAATAGATATATTGGGCGACAATATAATGACAACTCAGGTAACTGTTGTTTATGTAAACAAGTTACAATAGGAGGGGTTATTTTAAACCGTTATAAATTAAAATGTCAATTTAATAAAAATATTTTATTGATTGTGGTGTATGTTTTAACTTATGATTATCTATCATAATGCAATATTTAGTGAGTACATAAATTATTTACTACAATAAGTTCTACTACTACAATGAAATAATGGTAAACAACCTTTTTAATTAATGTTTTTAGAAATCAATCGAAGTTTACTTGTACATCTATATAATAGTACATATCGTGTAGTATATTTTGTATCAGTATATTTTATATAAGTATATTTTATATAAGTATATTTTGTACAAGTTTATTTTATACAAATAGTATTTTGTAACACTTAATTTGTTATATCTTATGGCAATACAAAATCTCTATAACAATATCAAAAGTATATTTTGTATCAGTATATTTTATATAAGTATATTTTGTACAAGTTTATTTTATACAAATAGTATTTTGTAACACTTAATTTGTTATATCTTATGGCAATACAAAATCTCTATAACAATATCAATGCTATTAGACCAGACAGTCTTAATAAACACACACCGACATGTAAATAGTCAAAAACAGCTTATTCATTTTATCACAAGTCTATGTACAAGTATTAAGTCAGGGACAATTATTGAGAATATCCTAGAGCAAGTATAAATACATCAAATGTAAATTACCTTATAATTATAAATCTGATAATAATGTTAATGATAATAAGCAAATTTATTATACCCATAGTCATTGTCCTCATGTACTGCAAACTTTATTTATTTTAACTCGTTTCTTTGTCTAAATAAAATTTTAAATAATCTAACTTGATAAAAATTTAGAAAACAAAACATATTAAAAGGGCAATATTGCAAATGACAAAAATATTACTTTCATGTTGGCAAGCAAGTTTACATTATAATTCACCCTTATAAAATTTGTTCTTAAATTTTGTACTCTAAATTAAGTCAAAGATCGTTATAATTGTACGTGTATTATAAGTGAAATCACCCTCATCAAAATTTCTCTATATTCTAATATCAAAAGTATTTTTATTAGGTATGTTATAATTAAAATTTACAAGCATATGCAATCAAAAGTGACAATCAAAATACGTGAAACCATCTGATTGTTTAGGTTTTTATTGCAAACATGCTCACACTGTTTAATACTACCATAGTATAATTAATTAAAACTTTCCATTAATTTATGGCCTATGATAAATCTACGGCATTTATAATCAAATCTTACTTTCAATTAAATAATTAATTTGAACTATTTTACCACGTTTTAATATATTTTAGTAAATAATTATTATAAGAGAGTACAGAATACAAAGTTATTTATGAAGAATTGGTAAATAATGATAATATTTTAATTAAATAAAATAAACATTTAATTGGAAATCAAAAAATAGCATAATCATTTATACACTGGGAATGACATTCAATTAATAAAAGTGACTTTTAATTGTGCTTTCTAGAAAATATATTATTAAAAGTGTATGGTTAAACACATACTATTTTAGTAACTTGTAATTCAAACACAAATTAGACTTAATAATTGTTTCTAATAATATTTAATTATATTAAATGTGAATAACTTTAATTAGTGAATATATACCACATCCCACCAGGATAACAACTTACCATCAGCAAACATGCACGTGGTCGAACAAATCAGCAATGTCCAAGCGTTGATGCACCTATTAAAAGCCTATGTGGGCACCGGCATACTGGCAATGCCCAAGGCTTTCAGGTAAATTGTTTATTATATACAATTTTAACAATTAACTAGTGCATTACGGTAATTATAATCAAAAACATAATCCACCTAGCTATTCGGGAATCGTGTTGGGAGCTATCGGCACACCAATCATAGGCGTGTTGTGCAACAGTTGTATTCATATGCTTATAGACATAAACAAACATTTGGGAAACAAATTGAAATGCGAACCATTGGAATACGAAGATGTAAAAAACATGTGACATGCTCAAAATTATTACTAATTAACTTCTACCCATGCTAATAGATTGTAGAACAGACCATGCTGAACGGACCTAAACCGTTCGTAAAATGGGCAAGATTCTGCAAATGCCTGATGATCACATTTTTGGTATTGACACAGATGGGCTTTTGTTGCAGTTATTGTCTATTCATAGCCGAGAATATGAGACAGGTCACTACAAATTTTAATCTACCTCAGAAAACACAGAATATTATAATAACATATTCAATTACAGTTCCTTATTTTTATGGGCCAACACTTTAACTCTCTGCCCAACGCATCTATGTCAGTGCAATGGTACTTATTAATCCTATGGCCAATATTGATCCTGATCAATTTCAACAAAAGCATACGTGCGCTGACCATAGCGTCTGCCTGTGCTAATGTCGTACAGTTGGCCTCATTTGGTATAATTGTATACAATTTGGTGCAAAATATTAAGCCATTGAAATCCAATGAAGTACTTATTGGTAATGAATTTCCGCTATTTTTCAGTACAGCTGTCTATACGTTTGAGGGCATTACTGTCGTAAGTGATCATTATAAAATAATGCAAAGGGCTATTTTATTTTTGTCTAGATATTTATCAATAGAGTTCGCTATCATAAGAAATTAAATGACAAAATAAATATAAAATATACAATATTTATAAAAGTTTTAATTAAGTTACTTACGCCCTTTTTGCATATTTTTAAATTAACAATAGATATATCATAAAACTAAAAGGGCATATAATTACATTGTTAAAAGTATATAAACAGAATTTAAACAAACAAAATTATTTATTAAAGTTATCTCATAGTTTTAAAAATTAAATAATCCTTTTATATCTATCTCAATATTTATTCAACCACTATATACACAATTTATGATCATGTTTTACTCGACAGACAATGCCATTATACCGGGCCGTACGAAACAAATACAACTTCTCCAAAGCGACCGGGGTAGTGAATGTGGCGCTCATAATAGTAGTCATACTGTATCTGGGAATTGGTTTGCTCGGGTACTTGAAATATGGGGCCGACGTGGGAGATGTGCTAACCCTGTCGCTGCCCAACGAGCCCCTGTATAACAGCGTACTGGTCATGTACTCACTGGTCATATGCGTCTCATACCCGGTCCAGATGTACGTCACACTACAGCTGCTGTGCCCGCGCGTCGAGTACTATCTCCACGAGCTTAATATGAACACGTGTTTAGTCACATTTTTTGATTACCTACTTCGGGCGGTTATGGTCACAATTACCTGTATGTTATATTTTGTATGATTTGCATGATGCCTAAATTATATACATCTATATTAATAAAATAAATTACATTTATAGTTGCTTTTGCTGCTTTTATACCAAATTTAAGCTTAATCATCTCGCTTGTTGGCGCTGTTTCATGCAGGTAATAATCCAGCGTATATTAATTAAAATTATATAATCTAATAAATTTATCATGTTTAAATATTATGCAGCGGAGTTGGCATTATTTTTCCACCAATGCTACACACAATATCATTCTGGGAGCGAGATATAGGTAAAAACAACAATCGTATTCAATTATTTAATTCACAAAACTAAATTAAACTTTAAATCAAACTAACTAGATCGTCGGGCCAAAGCTATGATCTACATAAGGAATCTCATTGTGTTTATCATTGGCGTACTTGGATTCGCAACAGGCACCTATTTCTCGATTAAAGACATTGTTGACATGTACGACTAAAATTAGACTTGGTATACAATTGTTGTTATATACAGCACAGTTGCCAGAATGAAATTTTAAAAATAGTTTTACATAGGGTGATGTTAAACTTTTTATTTTATTATGCGCAAACAATTAAATGAGATCAGTTTATTAGAGAATGCGCTCAATACAAGTCATTATAACAATACTGTATTGCCATAAAAAAATTGCTGTTATTTTATTGTCATTGAAATTAAAATGATATAAATTTTGTATTTATTATAACTACTATTTTATATTAAATTTGTTATTAATTATTATGTTATGCTATTTAAATTATTTTTAATGAAATATTTTTTAATTATAAAATACACCATGTACGCTGTGATGTAACTTATAAATTATTTAGTGTTAATGATTTACTGAAAATTCATCATTGTAATGTATTTTCAAACGTCTAATAAACTGTATTATTGTCCTATTTATCTAAAAAACTTTATGTAATAAAAAAAGTGTGACATATTTTCAAAGCAATATTTTATGTCTTACATCAAAAATAAATGTGTTTAAAAAATATTAAGTTCTTTGTTATATTTATTTTCAAATATACACCATCGTAAATAAATTTGTGATTTTAAATTAACCCTATTTATTTGTCAAAAGCACCATGACCGAACAAATTAATAGCCTGCAAGCTTTAATGCAGTTGGTTAAGGCGTGTGTGGCCACCGGTATATTGACTATGCCCCGGGCATTCAGGTATTTTTTAAATAAAATTTAATAAATATAATACAAATTAATTATTTTTTGTCATTTCTTATACAATAGTTACTCGGGTATTGTGTTGGGTATTATCGGTACCGCTATTATTGCCATATTATGTAACAGTTGTATACATATGTTAATTGATTTAAATAATTATTTGTGTAAAACCTTAAGTTGTGAGCCTATGGACTATGAAGAGGTAAATTAAGTTTAACTTGTACAAATATAACTTATAAATATTAAAATATTTTTAGGTAGCTGAAAAATCAATAGCGAATGGCGCACATAAATTGCGAAAATACTCAAAATTTACCCGCAACATGGTCATTGTATTCCTGATCATTACCCAAATGGGCTGTTGCTGTAGTTATTATCTATTTATCGCTGAAAACATACGTCAGGTATACGTGTAAATCATTTTAAAATGCGATAAGCTCATCTATTATTAAACTGATTAACAACTTGGTTACAGTTTTTAATAAACTCAACCACATTGCCCAATGTGTCAATGAGCATTGAATACTACCTGGCCATTCTATTGCCATTTATGATCCTGATCAATTTCATCAAAAGTATCCGCCTGTTGACCATAGCATCAGGGTGCGCCAACATTATACAACTGGTCTCATTTATCATAATCGTTTACAATCTGGTCCAAGATGTGGGACCCGTATCGGAGCGCCGGTCGTTTGGCACTGATATACCGTTATTTTTCAGTATAACTGTATACACATTTGAAGGCATCACATCTGTATGAAAAACTACTATAATACAAAACTAACATTGTTAAAAACAATTACCCTGTTTGTCATTATTACATTAGTCAATGCCACTGTACAGGGCCATAAGAAACAAGCGCAATTTTTCCAAACTATTCGGTGTGGTCAACATCGCTATCGCAATTGCTATTTCCCTGTATATAATGATAGGACTGTTGGGTTACCTGAAATACGGAGATGATGTGCAAAGTGTGATCACACTGTCCCTACCGAGTGAGCCCCTGTACGACAGTGTGCTGTTGATGTACTCACTGGCGGTCACCGTCTCATATCCGGTGCAAATGTATGTCGCGATACAACAACTCTGGCCCCGACTCGAGCGCCGACTAACCGATCGCAAAATGAGTGACACTTTTGTCAATATTTCTAACTATGTTTTGCGTACACTTTTGGTGTGCATAACGTGTATGTATTGTACAGTTTGTTTACAGTTTTACTAAATATTTACAACTATATTGATTAATTCGTGATATAGTTGGCCTAGCTGCGTTTATACCCAGGTTGGATTTAATCATAGCATTGGTTGGCGCAGTATCAAGCAGGTTTGTGTCATATTTCCATGCAATCTACAAAGATTTAAATTTTAAATCTATTTAATCTTTACTTTATAATTATTTAATAGTTTCATCGCGATTATAATACCCCCAGTTTTACACACAATTGTATATTGGGATAGAGATATAAGTAAGCGATTTAAATACACATGTTATTAAACGATCTGTAAATATTGTGTATTTTTATATATTAGATAAGCGCCAGAAATATTTAATATACACCCGAAATGTGACCGTGTTTATTGTTGGCATTCTTGGATTTGCATCGGGAACATATTTCAGCATAAAAGATATAGCTCAATTATTTATTTGATAGATAATACTACTAAACAATCTGAATTGTAAATATTTTAATAAAATAGTCAAATTATTTTAAACATTTGTTCAATCTCAATTAATACAACAATTAAAATTAATTATTGTAATATGCTAATTACTGTAATAATATTCAAAATTAACTTATATTGACAAAATAGTTTATTAAAATAAAACTTTTAAACAAGTTTAATTATAATTCTTTTTTAAATAATAAAAATAGATGCTAAATTAAATTAAATTTAAAAACTAGTTAACTTACAAATTAATAAAATATAAGTATTATAAATTTCATGCTGTTATCTGTACAATAAACAATATAATAGAGTAATTTTTATCGACTTTGATTTAATTATGTTTACAAATAGTTTAACTAGTGCGGTGTTATTGATGCAATATAAAGTGTTTGAAATACTCTCACAATCTGCATAAATTATCACTTTTAATTATTGATACCCTATTAGCTATTAATTATTTTCAAGTGGATAATGCATATTCATTGCACAATCACAATAGGTTAAATTTGTTAAATTAGCACAAACTTATATATATTAGATTACTATTAATGAGTAAATTATCAATTGTAAAATTAGTTTAATAATTATTAAACAACAAATATACAATTCTTGTATTAAACTCTGCAAAAATAACTAGACGAAATATGAATTATCGTATATTTGCTATAACTTTAATTTTATGTCTGACAATTAATTATGGTCAATCGGCAGTATATCTTGAGCTGAAGTTGCTATATAATAACCAAACACATAATCCGAGACAATTTCTATTGAATTGTAATTATGATTATGATGAAGGTGATGTCATTAAAAATGTCTACATAACCATCAATGACAAGATACTGTACACCCGGTCATTAGATCCCTCCGGAGGTATGTACCAAGCATTAAACCATGTTAATTATAATTTAACTTGATACTTTTTCTAATTAGAGCCCAAATACGATCATACTCTGTTCATTGATGTGATGGATGTTCTCCTAGATGCCAATAAGGATTTTGCTCTTATCAATATTAGCAAAGTTACCAGGAAGGCATTTGGTACATACAAGTGCAAAGTGGACTACTCGTCCGAAATTGACCAAAAACAATATACTGTACAATCATTAGATGTTATTTCAGTGGGTCGTAGGGCTAATGATAGCTCCTATTACTGTACCGGAAAATGCATTGAAGAAAGCGACAAACATATCTAGATTGTGATCATTTTAGTTTTAATTAATAATTTTATGTAGCTTCTTTGTGTTAAATAAATTTGAAACGTATTTATTTATAAATATCTTATTATTTTTGCTAAAATTTTAAATGACAACTTAAAATGAATTTGTTAAACATTATTAAAATAAATAATTAAATAATAATTTTTATATGTTCAGAGAATAATTTATTTACAAAAAATAAAGATTTAAGCTCTAATTTTTATTTTTAATTATGGTACAATCATTCTTAATTCTTTAATTTATTGACTCATTATATTATCACAATTTAAATTAGTCAACTCTTTTGAGGCACTTATAATTATTTTATATTCTGTAATTTTTGTTTACATTATTGCGGCGAAATAGAGTGCTTGTTATAAATTAAAGTATGAATCAACATTATGTTTTAGCCGGTCTTTGTGATAATTAATCTAACACTTTTTTAATATTTGTACAAAACTTGTTATTCATTTATTTCAAGTTATTTCAAGTGACTTAATGTATATTCAGTGCCAAATAAATGCAGATTAGATTTGTTAATCTAGCTCACAAGATCAATTCATATTAGGATACTATTTAAGCATAATTAACAATGCTTTATAAGATAGCACATTTAATTTCTAATTAATTAGTACTTTATTCAGCGAAATAAACTAAACATACTAAATACTATGGGTCTTAAAATTGCTACATTATTATTATTGTGCTTCATAATTAACTATGGTCAATCGGTATACGTTGATTTAGAATTAACGTATATTAAAACAGATCGCAATCCCAGACAATTTCAATTAAATTGTAACTACGATTACGACGCGGACGACACTATTGTAAACGTGTACATAACTATCAATGACAAGACACTATACACCCGGGGAAATATCACCAGTGGAGGTATGTACCGGGCTTATCAATCAAGCATGATGATCTTAATTGTTTTTATTTATCATGTATTAAGTTCCCGAATACGACCAAACGCTACTAATAGATGTCCTGGACAAGTCACCAGATTTTAACAAGAACCAAGCTCAAATCAGTATTAGCAAGGTCAATCGGCATGCATTTGGTACTTATAAGTGTAAAGTAGACTACATGTCCACAATTGACAACAAACAATTCACTGTCAGTTCTGCTAATGCTATTACAATTGGCCGCAGAGCTAATGATAGCCAATATTACTGCACTGGGGTTTGCGTTGAACGGCCTCAAAACCAGCCTTAAACAATTAATAAATGCAACTATTGATCAAATTACTAGATTTATTTAAATATGTATTTTTGGCTTGATCTTTTATGCTAAAAAAATTAATGTAATTTTTATTTCCAAACTTTAAAATAAATACATTAAAATAAACCTGTTGATTAATAAATATTTAATGTAGAATGTAATAAAATATCAGTTTATAATAAAATAAATTTATTTAATTCCAGTTTAATTGTTTAGTTTATTTTTATATTTAAACTTTGGATTTCAATTGATCATCATACTGGCAATTTTTATCATCACTAAAAACAATCAATCTGCCAGCACTTACACTCATATTCAGGTCCTGTTCATAATTAGACAAAAAACAGACTATGATATGACCAATAATTAAGCCTAGCTGCAGGATTACTAGTTGCAAATTCATGCTTAATTTTAAATGCATGTATATGTGTGAATATAAATACACATAGGTGATAATAAATGTGAAAAAAAGTTTTAAAAAAAGTGACGCGACGGTGACTCGAACCCAGGGGCTTTAGAATTAGTACCCAACGCTCTACCAACTGAGCTATGCTGACAATGTAAATTTAAATGACTTAATAGTACTCTTTATAGATCACCTATTAATTTCAACATGCATGACTGTTTCTAAATCTGACACATAGTCAAATATGTTTTTCTATTCAAGTAATAAATTGTATTGTGTCATTGTGTATGATTTTGAGATGTGATTTTGTGACTGAAGTATTTTCTGCACGTCCACAAAATGACAAATTCACACATAAGTGCTCAAATAGTTTTCAGCATATGCAACTTTCACACATTTTGTCTGATTAGATTTAGGCATTTTTTTGATGAAGGATTATTACTCTACAGTACAAATTACAGTGTATAATTATTAATTAATTTTAATCAATATTGTTACTATTTTATTGCCCGGATACAAAATACATGAATATTGGTTAACACTTTCATTTATTGATAGCAAATTAATATTCATTTATTTCAAGTACTTTAATGTAAAGTTATATTAATTTGCAAATACCAATTGATTAGATTTGTTAATCAAGCTTAAACTCACAAACGCATTAAAATGCTATTAATTTTACAAAAGCTTATTAAGTTATCGCCTTTAGAATTTTTAATAAATTAATATTTATTGTATTATTATTTAATACAATACAATAAATCATTAACAGGCTAGCGATGAATGTTTTTAAGAGTGCACAATTACTATTATTATTTACAATAATCAAGTATGGTCAATCAATGTATGTCGATCTAGAATTGGTGTATTATAGCGATGATCGCAATCCGAGACAATTTATGCTAAACTGTAACTACGATTACGACGCGGACGACACTATTGTAAACGTGTACATAACCATCGATGACAAAACATTGTACACCCGGGGTAATATCACTGGTGGTTGTACGCTTAACATGTAAGAATTTACTATAATGATTTTACTAATTAATTTTCATTACTTATGAAGTTCCTGAATACGACAATACGCTGATGATTGATGTAAGCGATACGTACCATGATTTTAACAGAAACCAAGCTTAAATTCACATTGGCAATGTTCACCGGCATGCATTTGGTACTTACAAGTGCTCTGTCGACTATTGGTCCTCAATCGACAATAAACAATACACTGTCCACTAGCGTTGCCAGATATACAGGAATGACCTGTATTATACAGGAATTAAGGAATATTGCAGAGTACAGGAAGGTGTCATTCCTGTACATTGAAAAATACAGGAATAAATGTTTTAACAATAAACTATAAAAGCATTAAAATATTCAGATTTATTAATAATAATAGTCTTATACCCCTACAATCTGAACTAATGATAGAAATCAAATAAATTTAAGAATAATTAACTCAATTACAAAGACATTGTATAAGCACTTGAATTTTTGCAAATGTATAATTCTTTGGAAATTGTATGAATTTAAAGTTTTGATTGACAAACAATGAAATACAGGAAAATACAGGAATTATTGGTAAAATTTGCACAATTATACAGGAAATCCAAAATATTTTCTGGCAACGCTACTGTCCACTCGTCTAATGTTATATCAATAGGTCGTAGAACTAATGATGGCTACTTTTATTGCTATGGTATTTGCACAGAAAGATCACCCTAGTTATGAATTTAGTAAATTATGATAATTTTTCTTTAAGAATGTGATTTAAGATTTTATTTTTGATTATTAAATAAAATTAATTGAAATTCTAACAAAGTTTTAAAATATTGATTGTGTTAATTCATTTTATAATTATCATAAATTAGTGTAATAAAAAATAACTCAAAATTATTTATATATATCACAACTTAAAAGTCGGATTACATTAAATTTATAACTTATATTTACAATAAGTTACAAGAATATAAAAATATAATAACTCGCTATAATATTGTATTTTAATAATATAAATATTGGTAAATTATTGTTTGAAATAAATTTATGGCACATACTGTAAAGTGATAATATTTATTATTTAAATATTTTTTACATATAAATGTATGCAATGAAATAAGCAACTTCCTAGAGTTATCATATAAATAGTTTTAATATCTTTCACATATTCTGTGAAACTCAAATATATTACTCCTAAAACAAGTATATTTGTACTTAAAATATTTAGGCAACTATATAATAAAATAAATATTATCTAATTTAGTAAACACCAATCAGAGAGTTGTCGCCATAATTAGCAATTGTAGTAATTTACCATCATAGTTTGTAAAAATTAATTGCTATCCAATTATTAACAATTATAATTATTCATTACTTTAGTTTAAAATCTTTTGACATTTACCGATTATAAAATAAAGCTATGAATTATATTCGTAAAACATACTCATTAAACATTTTGTCGCAAATGTTGTACCAAGTGCAAATGTTTGCACACATACTTTATGCAAAATGATTATTTTTATGATTTTTATATGGAATAATTAAGACATTATAAATAATGTATTATTAAACAACTAAATTGAAACCTTTTGACGCCATGTATTACATAAAACATCTATTGTCTTATCGACAAATTTGTCATTTATTACACCAACAGTATTGCACATAGTTTTTATGTTAGGATAATGTATTTATGATGGTTATTAAATCACATTTATTGATATAAAACAACATATTTCACTAATAAAAGTAAGTTGACTTATAACTACAGACCATAACCAAAAAACATTTATTTTAATTTTTTTTATAGAAACATAATTATTCTGTGAATTCAAAGTAAACTCAATATGAAATCAACAGTGTTAATTGTTTTACTAGCCATAGCCCTATCAATCGATCATGGGAATTCTGTATTCATTGACCTAACGTTTAAAGATGATGGTCGTTATGGAACTCTTATGAGAAATCCACCAAAATATTACTTAACCTGTAATTACGATTACGAGGGCAACGAAAACATACAAAATGTTTACTTTTATTTTAATGACAAACTCTTATACACTAACGGAGAGAAAACTAGTTTCAGTAAGTATTCAATTCATACAAAACAATATATTGTATTTCATTCGAGATTTAAGTATTTAAAATATATATAACAATCTCTCTCTCTCTCTCTCTCATATTTGTAATTTTCTGGATGTAATAAATGACGAATTTGTTGATAAGAAAATAGATGTTTATTAATAATGTGTGTGTTTTTACGTAAATCAATTTGGAGCCAACTTTATTGTAATAATCGGTATAAGTTATATAATTAGTACAGTATATACTTAATATAAAATATAATTATTCAATTAATTTAATTAGAGCCAAAATGGGAGAGCACAAACATCAAGGTATCGGACCCAAGTTGCGTACCCGACCAGAGTTGTGGCTGGGACAAAGAAAAAACCACCTTATACTTTCATAACACTACTCGACACGCGTTCGGTGACTACCGGTGCAAAGTTGACTACTGGTCCGACGCCGACATGAAAGCGCACGAACACGACTCGCATACGAGTGTTACGGTTGGCCGCAAAGAAAACGGCACTTTCTTTATTACATATAACGCAGAACAACACTATTCTAATCGTCCCTTACCCTGATTGTCACGTTTATTGCATCTCTCGTTATACTTTTAAATAGTTTAATTTAATTTTAATTTAATAATAATATTTAATAATTTAATGATTAAATTAACAAACAATAAATATTTGTAATAAAGAAATTAATTGTCTTGCTCAATTATTATTGTGAGTTATTATCTAATCCGTCAAATAGTATCCTTCGCCTCGGACTAACATTAAACTATAAAATTAACATTACTATAAACTTTGTATTAAGCATAAATTTAATATTGCCATAGGCTTAGTAGTAGTCTATGCGATTTGCGTTGTAACATGCCTCTTTTTGTATGGTCATAAATAGTTAATTACTGTTCGGATTTTAAAATTTTTTTTGTTATAAAACAGCGTGTGCTTCAATAATTTTGTATTGAAATTATCTCTATATTTCTTATAGTCTGACCAGTAACATAGTAATTCAAAATGTATAGGTTATTAAGTACATAGTGACCAATATCTATAATACTGTATGCATTAGATCTCGCGTGCATGAACACGTACTTGTATATGACAATCTCACACTCTCATATACTTTTTACTGAATCAAATTATCTCTTCTAGTTTAATAATTAACAAAAAAAAGTTAAAATTATTAATTATGTTTAAAATAGACCATGCCAATCATTTCGCAATTACTCGGGGAATACTGCATATTTAGAAACAATACTACCTTGATCAATTTCCACTATTATATGCAATGATAATGAAATGCGTAAATGAAATAATGACTTCTTAATAGTTATGATATCATAACTAAATCATTGCGTTGTAAAGCTTACACCAAGTGTCAATTTTTGTGCACATACTTTATACGCCATACTTATATATTTCCTTGTGATCTATGAGAAGAATAATAGAGACTAACATAAATAATATAAATGATAAAAATAAAACATTTAGAACCATGGTCTAAATAATTTTTATATACTATATTATATGGCACTTTATTACATCTAAAACAATTAAATATGAGTAATAAAAACTAACATTTTTGCACTTTTAACTGAAATATCTGAGACAATTATATCATATAATAAATTTTATCTAATTTAATAAACACTATTTAAATTGCACTAGCTCAACAGCAGTTTCATTAATTTACAAAACAAACCTAAAAATTAATCACACAATAAAATTATTAACAATTATTATTATTTAATAAAAATTAAAAATCTTTTAACTTATACCGATTATTACAATAAAGTTGGCTCCAAATTGATTTTACGTAAAAACACACACATTATTAATAAACATCTATTTTCTTATCAACAAATTCGTCATTTATTACATCCAGAAAATTACAAATAATTTTTATGTCAGATTAAAATATTTATGATGGTTATTAAATCATACTTTACCGATTGTAAACTAGATATTTCACCAACAAGAGTAATTTTAATGCTCTGTCTTATAAATACAGAAATAAAGCACAAAAAAATTATTTTAATTTCTGTTTTCTTGTGGAGAATTAATATAATTATTTATTGAGTAAAAAGTTAACCAAAAAATAACAATATGAAATTGTCCGCGTTAATGTTTATACTAGCCCTAGCCATATCGTTTGAACATGGTTATTCTGTTTTTATAGATTTAACATTTTCACGTCAACTAAAAACAACAAATCCGCCAAAATATGACATAAATCCGCAAATATATGATTTATATTGTATTTACGATTACGACGGCGACGAAAGCGTACAAAATGTTTATTTCTATTTAAATGACAAACTTTTGTTTACCAAAGGAAAGGCGACCGAAGAAAGTTAGCATTCAAGTCATATATAACAATATATTGATTATTTAAATAAATGTTTATTATTTGTGAAATATATTATAATCTCTCTCTCTCTCTCTCGCTCTCTCTCTCGCTCTCTCTCTCTCTCTCTCTCTCTCGCTCTCTCTCTCTCTCTTTCTACCCCTAAAGCGATATCACAAAAATAACCCTATAAATTCTTAAGGTAATAATAAGTTCATTGTATAGGGTGTAAACAATTTGGTCAAATATAATGGTGATTAATTTATATACGGTAATAAATTATATACGTAAGTTAATTTATGAGTTAATGAATTATTATTACCTTAAGAATTTATAGGGTTATTTTTGTGATAAAATATTTTCAATATATTAATATTAGTTATGTTATATCGTATCAATAATATCGGTGTATATTAATTAATCAATACTTATTTATAAGTGTTTATATTGTTGTTGTTTTGATTGACATTTAATTAATTAATATTTTTTACAAAATATTTTAAATAAATTATTTGCATATTTAAATACTTTGAATTTATATTTTAAAATACTTTACATAATAATTGATTACAAAAATCAAATATTATCTAAATTATTCCGGTTGTAAATAATTTATAAATATTTAATTGAAATATTTGTTGAGTAGTAGTGTACTTTATATAAAATAATGACAAAATTTGAAAGCAATTAATTAAGTTATTTATAGTAAATGTAACACAAATTGAAAACATAAAAATTTTTAGACAAACTAAAAATCATTAAACGATTCAAAAAATGTTAATTGTTTTTTGCCTTCAAAACAACAAAAACATATAAATTTTGCCAATAATTAACGAATAGAGAGAGAGAGAGAGAGAGAGAGAGAGCATTGCTTTGTATTCAATGCTAATTATAACCCAACAATGCATTCAATTTAGTGTATGTTTTGCAGCAAAAAAGTGTTGAATTGTAATCACAGTCTCAATGATTGAAGCCATAGGAATGGTATGTCAGGGCGTTGTGTGTAGCGTTGCCAGATATACAGGAATGACCTGTATTATACAGGAATTAAGGAATATTGCAGAGTACAGGAAGGTGTCATTCCTGTACATTGAAAAATACAGGAATAAATATTTTAGAAATAAACTATAAAAAGTATAATAATACTCAGATTTGTTAATAATAATAATCCTCTACACCCACAATCTGAATTAATGCTAGAAATCAAATAAATTAAACATAACTAACTCAATTATAAGTACATTTTATAAGCACTTGAATCTTTGCAAAAGTATAATTCTTTGGAAATTGTACAAATTTAAAGTTTTGATTTACAAACAATAAAATACAGGAAAATACAGGAATTTTTGGTAAAATTTGCACAATTATACAGGAAATCCAAAATATTTTGTGGCAACGCTAGTTGTGTGTCATAAACACTATGTATAGTAAGCAAAGGGATTGTCAACTGATAACCGATAACTGGGGCCGAGTATTGACAGCAATAGTAGTGATTGTAGTGATGGTTGTGTGGGGTAGGGATGCGAAAGGGATGATAGCACTGGTATGTCTGCCACACAATTAATATCTATATTTAAATATATATATTATAATAAATGTATTTATCATTTCATGGGTTCCTGATTTAGGATTAATTGCTTTTGGCATTCAATACATATCAGAATATTCTTCGCGTTTATATTATTATTATTATTGCTTTTTTGCGTTAAAATACATAAAAATAAATGACAATTTTTGTGTTAATTTTGATCATTAACTTCACATTTCATACACAGAGAGTATAACACAAGCAGTCATTGAAATGGCATTTCATAAGGGCTTTCAGTGAATGCCTTTGAAAGCAATGAATGAATAAAACTGTGATTTATTTATACAGAAAACAAAGAATTTCTTTTAAATCACTAAATTCTCTCTCTCTCTCTCTCTCTCTCTCTCTCTCTCTCTCGACTGACTGTCATATGAATGAATAAACTTAAAGAAAAT